AAAATCATATTTCCCATGTTACAAAAACAGCATTCTTCCATCTTAGAAACATTGCCAAGCTACGGAACATGTTACCTGTTTCTGATGTAGAAAAGCTAATTCATGCATTCATGACCTCTAGACTGGACTACTGTAATGCACTGCTAGGTGGTTGTCCTGCATCTTCAATAAACAAGCTACAGGTATTCCAAAATGCAGCTGCTAGAGTCCTTACCAGGTCAAGAAAATATGATCATATTACCCCAATTTTACAGTCTCTACACTAGCTACCGAAGTTCCATATCAGCTCCAAAATATTACTACTTTCAAGGCTCTAAATGGTTTAGCTTCTGCCTATCTAACTAGTCTTCTATCATGCTACAATCCATCATGCTCCCTAAGGTCGCAAAACTTTTGGTAGTACCTAGGATAGCAAAGAGCTTTTTCACATTTGGCTCCCAAACGCTGCCTTCCTGATAACGTTCAGTGTTCAGACACACTCTCTCTGTTTAAATCTAGATTAAAGACACTCTTTAGCCAAGCATTCACATAATGTATCTCATAACCTTGTACTTCAATTATATCTCATCAAATGTACATTAGCATTTTTTTGCTTGGTTGGAATAGCAGATACGCTAATGTTGTCTCTATTTGCTTCTCTGTTTTTGCTACAGGATTGGCATCCTGAGGTAACTAGGAATTACAGAAGCTTCAGTCTGGATCCAAGCCATATGAAGATCTGAGATGACCGAATACATGAGAAGAGATGATGCCGACCGCTCAGAAGACCTCAGATGCCAACCCTGAACCAACATACAAAACTACCAAACTTTGCTATAAGTTTGATCACAACATATAAGCATTGCTGTTAATAGTGTTCACTGTCTGTTTGATTAAATGTCATTAACTAACTGCATGATATGGACATCAAGTTGACATAGTCACCACTGATAAGATACTCCTAAATATAATGTGGAAACTAGGGGTGACCACGAATAGTCGAAGATTCAATGCTTCGATAGGATGAGCCTGATTCGACTACCAATCTCACAGTCGAATATTCGCAGAGGTGTTATGAAATAAGGATCATGCCATTTTGGCTATACAGGGGTGCTCAATGTCTGATTTCAACTACTGGTTTTCTCCCAATATGTTAATACACAGTCTATTATGATAATGATGTAAATAAGAATGTGAAAAGAAAGATGCTTTTAATAAATATTTTTAACGTGTAAATAAATCCAACCACCCATGTGACAGATTTAAGTTTCACTTTCCGTGATCTGTGACCAACGAATCGAGCAGCAGGGATTTAAATATTTAAGAAGACTTTTTATAAAACTTTTATTTTTCGATCACATAGACACTGCAACGTTTTGGGAATGACATGTACATATTTATGCAGGATTCAAACACTAAAGAGTAATGGACTGGACAAAAATATATGTGAAAATGAATGTGTATTGAAGCTAGAGCACACTTTCTAAAGCATCCTTAGTATTTAATTATGGAACCGGGTCTGGATAAAACTAGCTGTGTTTGAGCAGTTTTCACAGCAGCTCCTATTTATGCGATCACATGGAGTTTTATGTGGCAGTATTCTATGCTTCACAGCTGGAAAAATGATCAGGATTTGTTAATTTCCTCTGTGAAAATCTTTATATAGTTAGAGTAAACATGCACACGGGCATCATTGAATACTTCTTTCATCTGTTGATTTCATTTTATGTGTGGATTATTTGGTTTTATTTAGTACAAATCTTCAGCTTCATCAGTTCTGATAAGTAATAAACAACATGATATACGGCCGTCCAATGTTAACTATCTATTAATCAAAACATAAAACATTATTTATCCCATGACCAACATTAAAATACAGTAGCGTAGTAGGCCTAACTATTCAGCTACTGCTCTGCACAGTTCAAAAACAAGGCAGTTTTATTCCTAATAAGAATATATATTGTTGTCAGCAACTTTAACATTATAAATACACAGTTTGAACATTAACACTGTTGCTTGCAATGTGCTTACATACAGGTAAATAAAAAACTTAAATAATGCTAAAATTAAAATGTGTTGTACATAAAAGTTCAATAAAAACTACTGTACTTAAATGTAAAAAAATAAAAAACTTTACTCAAATAAAGATTAAATTAAAATGTATTGTGTTTTAACGTTAATTTATATTTAATTTAGTGATTCCTCTGCGTACCACAAGAGGGGTACTGACTTAATTATATATTTGATTAAATCATTTAGAATTTAAGGACATCACAAACATGGCTAAATGGCAACTGGGGGAATCATGACAATTGGTATTTCATATAGGCTGGGCAATGTATAAAATGTATGTCAACTTACCTTATTTGCTTTTTGACGAAAAGAGGCAATACATTTCTGTTTCGCTGGCTTCATCTTTCTAGTTGTGCCAGGCAGACTACAAGAACTGGTGTTGCAGCTGAGACAGGCACAGGTAAGACTACTAAATTCCCTGCACCCTGCCTGTTTAGGACCGCTATCAGAAGCACCATTAGAAAAAGACGACGTACGGTTCACTGTCAAATAGGAATAGGCTTCATACATGTAGGCAAAAACCAAACTTAATAATAATTTATTTTTTCCTTGTCACTAAAAGATGTCTGAAATAAACATTTTAAAACTTAACCTTGGTGTATGGCTTGAATTACAATGAATGTGATGTTCGTTGTTGGAAGTTTTAGTTAGCGAATAGCACAGGCTATTTTCCCTTATCAGAAGTGCGGGGGTCGATTGCTGTCTTTTCAAAATTGCGGGGGTCATGACCCCCCTGTCCCCCGTGTCAACAGCATGCCTGGTACTGGAACAGCAGCTCCTGCTGCTTAATAGCTAGCTCAAGTTCTTTTAACAACAAATGTAATGTGTGTTTAATGTAAGCCGACATATCATAGTTAATAGTCCTCGTAATTGACTATTACTATGTAAATGTCCTCACTTACGTTGTTTGTGACTTCCATATTGATGTGAATAATATTTAGTTAGCTTATCAGCATATATATATTTATCTCAATAGAGATCCGACAGCGGGCGGAACTTGTCATAAAGTTAGTGATAACAAGGCCTGCTCATTTAGAGGAAATATATTATTGGTCAATTTTTCTGTCAGTTTGATATTACGCTCCCATTGATTTACTATTGCTTGGGCCTCATTCTAATAAGAAGAAAATGGCCGTAATTCACTTAACCCATCCACTGAATAGGCAGATTTGAAGAGTTTATTTCTGCAGAAATTGTATTTATTTAATTTAGATTATGATTGTCAAATTATGAATTGCTTAAAATTAGAAATTATAACTTTTTATTAAAAATAGTATTTAAAAGATTGTCATTTAAAAAAAAAAGTATTTAAAAATTGTAAATATTGTTTTTACAATAGTTTAGGCCCTCTCTGAGGGCCCATACGGTTTCCCCCTGATTGTGACTGAACACAAAGATTTTGACAGGAATGCAAAACTTTTCCTATTGTCTTTTACGGTTTCTGCATATTCATCACTAACCTGAAAAAAGGTCAGTTGGCTAGATATCATATACTGTACCTATATTAAAATTGTACAGAGCCTATCTTTAAAGAATCACTGAACACCAGGGTGAAAATTAACTTGATACTATTGGTAAATTAACTTTATTATTTTCTTATTATCTTCAGATCTACAGAGTCGCCATCAGTGATTTCTCTTTGTAAGCAGTTTTCTTTATTGTCATTGTTTCTTCTGTTGTCCTGTCCACATTTGTTAATTGCCCAGTAAGGAAAAGTTTTCCTAGACCAGCTTTAAGATAACTCAGAGCATCTTTATTTGCTTCTTCAGCTTCAGCGTTTCTCCTCATCTCCTCCAGCTCTCGGACCCAGTTTTCTTTCCCAGCCTCCCTCACTCTGGGGATGAAGAAGTCGAGATGCTGAAGAGTGAAGGCAGAGTCTGGTTTTAACGCGATCTGAGACAGATTCTTGATGGTCCTGTAAGCATCAGACAGAAGATTGGACTTCTGGTCCTCAATCTCCTTCAGATCTATGTCAAGATGACCCATTGAGAACCTCTTGCACTGTTCTTGGGCTTTTTCACATTCTTTTCTAAAATCATCAAATTCAAGTGTCATGCTTGAGTGTCTGATGACATATTTCTTGTTTTCTTTGACGTGTTTGCTGTGGTGACACTTCCCTGTGCACACGGTGCAGAAGCCTTTTTTCATGACTTCACATTTGCTTGGATCAGAACCCCACCAGCAGTCAAACTCATGGCAGTTTTCCTCACAGACGGTGCAGGTCGTCGCCTTCTTATTCTTCCATGACTTGCTCTCAATGGGAACCTTCACTTTGACAGCCTTTTTTACTTTAATGGTGAAGTTTTTACATTTCTCTATCTTCTCCTTGTTTTGTCTCATTACCTCCTGAATCTGAAGGTTTTCAGATTTCTTCGATTCTTTCTCTTGAACTCGCAGCTGTAAGTTGCTGATGGATGCTTCTAATTGAATGCGCTCCATCAGGACATCTGAAGTCAACTCCAAACTTCTTCTGTTCTTTTCATCCAGAGACTGAAGGAAATCCTTCACTTCTTTCATGCTGTCTTTCCAGGCATTTCTTTGAGCACGCATGTAATGTCTCTCAGTGTGACGGGCTTCAGCCTGCCGGTTGATGAACAAGAAATACAAAGGTTGGCCACTTTTGTCTCGTCTGCAGGGGATTTTAGCTTTATTAATGGCACCAATGACGTTCTTGGGTGGCAGACCATCAGAGTGTGTGATTAAAAACACAATGTTGTTCATAATGTCTTTTCCAAACAAAGACAGAATTGAACTGATAATGTAATGCTGTCGGTCAGAGAGACGATTCTTAGATGATTTAATCACAAAACACACAGCGTCGACTTCATGAACTCCATCATTGCTCTGAAACAGAGTGGCTAAATTCTCAGCAGATCTTTGAGATGATTTAATCACAAAACACACAGCGTCGACTTCACGAACTCCATCATTGCTCTGAAACAGAGTGGCTAAATTCTCAGCAACTTCCAGATCTTTGTCCAGTCCTCGAGTGTCTCCGTAGCCTGGAGTATCAATGATGGTGAGAGACATGGGACTCTTCACAGGAAAGACCTCATACACTGTGATTTCAGAGGTTTGTGATTCTGCTTGATCTCCAGCTGCTTCTTCAGTGATTTCATACCATTCTTCATCCTCAAACTTCACTCCCAGTAAGTAGTTGACCATAGTGTTGATGAGAGTCGTCTTACCAGCGCCAGTCTCTCCCACCAGCAGAATGATTTGGTTTGGTTTACTGGTGTCTTTTATCCCATAAGTCCATTTTCTGACTTTTCCATTATCATCAAGCACTTTTCTTTCTGTTTCTAGACAGTATCGTTTTGGAGGACCTTCATGAATCAGAGTTGATCTGCATGGTGAAATGCCTGGCTGTCTGTAAAATATGGAGGGAAATGATTGTCAGAATATTTGTGTAGCAAGAATTTAAGATTCAAAATACCCATGAAAATACAGGCATTTTACAATAATTTTTAACATGAACAAAAAGTAAAGAAACACAAACAATAAAGGCCATCCAAATGCAGTTTACATTCATAGAATGTCTTCTCATGTTAGTTTTAAATTGGTTGGATGTTTTATATCATTTAAAGCACAAAGAATGTTTTTTAAGGGTGCTCCATTCAGGATTTTTGAAGCTGATTGCCGATCACAGAACGCAGTATCTGCCGATAGGATCACCGATATCGATTTTTTAAAGCCTTCTTTTTATCGTGTAGAATTATTTATAGAGATACTCCAATCAGGAGTTTTAGACATTTATTCAGGGCCTGAATTTCATTTTTGAAAATGGGGGGAGTTCCCCTCTTAGGCGACTCTTGTGAGAGGGGATTTTTCTTTTTAATTTGAGGAGTGGAGGGGGGCATTTTTCAAAAATATATATTTATCCCTGATTTCGTGAGCTGTATGTGAGGTGGCCTTTTACACCAGGTTCACACATACTCTGTCTGCAGTGTGTATGCAGTCCATGTAAGCGGTGCAGAAGCAGCACAGACTCATTGTGCTTTCACACAGGAGTCCGCTACTGATCCATTTGCTATTTACCACAAACACAACATTTATCCATTATTTTGATTTTAAATCCAAACATTGTTACTGAAAATGCTTTTTCAGCATTGTGATTTTTTTTACACAGTACAGCAATACAATCTTTCATAGACGTGTTTAAACAATAAATATAAGCGACACATTTTTCAATGCTTTCTTTCTTTTGCATTTACTCGTAGGTTTATACATTAAGTTGTTCAAGCAAGTGGCAAAACATTTAAATTACTTTTCTTACGTTATCACAAACACAAATTAAAACTTACCATTGACAGAAACAGTCAGCTCTACTGCCTTTTCTTTTGCATTTAAATCTTTATTACAAGCAATCCTGCGGTCCATAAAAAACGTTGTTTTTCTACCTCCACAAGTGCCATCTGTTATAGCCTAAAAGTGCTCTTTTCCGTTAAACCTTGCTAAAAAGCTATATGTGTTGACTGTGAAACACAGTAGACTTTAATTATATGCATTTATGGTGTAATTACTACATTTTTGTGTCAATCGATGTTCATATTTACCACAAACAATCCGCTGTCACTTTAATTTAGTGCGTGCAGCACAGCAAACTCAGTGTGGAAACAATCGGAGAACAGCTGCAGATGCACCGCTCCTGGAACACACTGCCGGACCACAACCGTGTGCAGTGTGAACACTCTAATCCGTTACCATGAGCGTGAAAAAAGACGCACCACATACGCACTGCAAACGGAGTATGTGTGAACCTGGCATTACACAGTCTCCAGGAGAGCGTGCGAGTGCTGAATGGTTAAACACTGGCAAGAATTAAAAAGATATGCAAATTATGAACTTTAGTGACGATGCACCCGCCTCGATTGTGCAAGTGACAATTCCCGTGTCAACTGTGCAGTGTGCACAGCTTACAGTGCAGACGCGATGTGTTGATTTGAAGCCATTTGCACATTTTGAGAGGAAAAGAGATAGAGCACGCGGTAATCCACTTATGCCGTTTGTGAAATTATGTCTCACAGAAAGTTTTCAAATTACTAAGTTATTAAGTTATTTAATGAAGAAATATGAATTGTACCTCACCTTCAGCATTATAATTATTTTACCCGTGCCAGTGCCACTGCATGTCATGCCAAACCTCTCATGGCAGACCGCCGATCAAATATCCCAAAGTAATTATCGGCTGATAGAGCAGCCTTAAATATTTTGGTTGTGATGCAAACTGTACCTATCAACTCAGCTGGCACTTTTTTGTGCTTAATACTTATTCCACAAGGTGATAACATTGGCTTGACCATTGAAGAAAGTATGTCAGAGCACACTGAAATGGTAAAGAGTGCAGCATCTTGAAGCCTGAACTTGAAACTTGACACACTGTTTTAAGAGCACATTGTTCAATCAATACACGAAGCATCGCAACCTGTACAGCCACTCCTTATGCGTAGGGCCGGTTCTAGGGAGGTGATGCCCACCAGGTTCTTCTTGTGCCCACCTATACTATCCACAGAATACTCAGTTTGTCATGTTAGTATACAATAATTGAAAATGTTACATTAAATTGTCTGTGCTATGAACTGCACGGAAACACAAAGGCTGAGGATACAAATGCAGTATTTAATGAAGGGTAATCCAAAGACACAATCCAGAAACAGGCAAAAGATAATACACATGGGTAATCAATCCAAACCATAACCACAGGACAATAAACACAGGCAAAGGGTAATCCAGAATAACAGGCAGGGAATCAACCATAGTAATGGGTGCTTTTGAAGCACTGCTTCGTGAAGCTTTGAAACCTATGCCAATCATTTGTTTCGAAACAATGGTTCGGAGCGTGTATATCAAACTGCCATGTGTCATGTTATTTCAGTACACGAGGCTTTGTTATTTCCTAAATGTTTCGAAACGTTTTGAAATTTCATTGGTTTTCCATTGGGGGCCATCTCTGTGAACCTGTGAATAAAGTTTATTGAGTGTTATTGTTTATAGCAGTCTCTACTATTTTATTTCAGTGGTTTTCCATTGGGGGCCATCTCTGTGAACCTGTGAATAAAGTTTATTGAGTGTTATTGTTTATAGCAGTCTCTACTATTTTATTTCAGTGGTTTTCCATTGGGGGCCATCTCTGTGAACCTGTGAATAAAGTTTATTGAGTGTTATTGTTTATAGCAGACTCTGCTATGTTGTTGCTGTTGTTGCTCTTTAGTTTAATTTTCTACTGTGAAACAATGGTCTGGGCCAGTGTTGCCATCTTGTGGAACAAAAGATTAGTGCAAAACCAAGTGAATGGGCATACACGCGGTTACAAAAATCGGATGATGCGTGTACTATTCTGGTGATGAAATTTGCATCACACGCACTGTACGCTGTTCCTTGCGTATGCATGAAAACCGAAGCATACTTTGGCCTGTTCGCGGTCATGGAAAACTTGGAAATGTCAGGGAATTTAACATTTTTAGCCAATGACAAATCATGGAAATAAATGAAATAAAACCTTTGTGTGTATATATATATATATATATATATATAGATAGATAGAGTTTTGCTCAGCTCTGAAATATTTTGTCTGCATTACACTGTTGTAGGGGTGGGCAATATATCGGTAGACATGATTAACTGGTAGAAATTTGTCAGCTGGTAGTGATTTTGGACTATCCTCTCTATCGCAGTTACAAAATCACATGACGTTGCTGTCTTACATTGTCACAAACATTTATCCTTTGTATGCGTTTTTAAGCATTGTGGTTTAAAAAAAACGTGATTTTAATCCATTAAAATGCAATCATCAGTGAAAGAGAACTAATTTCATATGTGTGTGCTGTCTGAGAGACAGAGACAGTTTCTAAGCGTGTACACATGTGAAGACACTGCTCATAGAGCGCGTGAGTATTGAATGGAGTTATTTTTGTTGCTTTATAGGCCTTGAGTGGTTAAACTTGTATGTGTCAAAATGCCCGTCTTTGCAAGTGTCCTTCTAAACACAGCAATTTAGGTCTTAAGTAAAAGCAAACAGCTGAGAAAGAAAACATGTGTAACAGTATACTGAATCCAGGCAGCATCATCTGTCATTATTTTTAATCAAACAACAAAAGAGAGAAAATCTGCTCTTCACTCAATCACTTTTGTAACATTAATAAGACAAAATATATATTTAATTTGCACAGTGAAGAATATGCCGTGTTTTAAAACATTTGATTACTTCATACAATGTATGTAGCATTTCTTATTTCTTTGTTCTGTTGTAGTCCTATTGCTTGTAATTATTCTTACTTAATTTCTGACTGTTTACTTGTCTTTAGATTTTTTATTGAATTTTGCCTATTATTGGTTTGTGATTGACACTGGTGACAAGATTTATGACATTTCTATGGTATCAAAAATTGATTGCCTAATTTATTTATTTATTTGTTTGTTTGTTTGTTTGTTTGAAGTGAAATGTGTGAATCTTCAAAAAGCCCAGAGTTAATTACCTTTAATATAATAGTAATTCACATTCCTGTAGAAAGAGCATGACTTTTGAGACTCACCTTAAACTCATGGTGATTGCTGGAATGAATGTGTCCACCTCACAACAGATTGTATCACTCTCCAGTCTGCTTACAGCAAAACAATTAATTACTTTATGAAAAAAAAAAAGTCACATACAGATCCAGTTTGTGATGAGCATGAATTTATACAGGTGCTGATTTTATTTTATTTTTTTACATGTACCTGTATGAATCCTTAAGTGTAGGTAATGCTGAAAGGTGCATACACTCTTAAAAATAAAGGTGCTTAAAAAGGTTCTTGACAGCGATGGTATGATAGTTAAAGTTAAATCATTAATGAATTAAAAAGAAATGTAAAATCTGATTCCCTTTCGAAAGGGAACTCCATGCTGTGTCCTCTAGAGGGTGCTAGGGGAATGCCTTCAACGTGACCGGTGTCTGAAGCATGAATGAAAAAACGACAATGAACTTGACAAAGGCAGGCGGCAGCCTATGACGTAAACAATAAAGTGACTGCGGGTATAAAAGAACACCTGCGGAATACGTCATACTCTTCTTTGTCTTCAAGCCTTGTGTATGGAAGCACATGCGTCTGCCTCACGAGAGAGAAGGATGCGCTCACTGTTTGCTTTCGCGGGACTACTAGAGGCAGAGGTCTGTACTCGAGTGTAATGGCAAGTTTTTGAGTTGTTAGGCTTTTGTTTGAGCCTCCTCATCCTCTCAGCCCAGGTACGTGTATTTAGGTTGAGCATGGTCTCTGCTCCTCTCGCCGAGAGAGTTATGCTGAGCACTCTGCTCCCCAGTATTTTTGTTTGCAGTTATTTCAGGTTTTTGAGGTTCTCTGTGAGCCTCCCTGATCAGCTGTTCCTGAGCCTGGTAGCTCCCCCTCCCTTTGAGGGTCGCTATGCTGAGATCACAGTATCTAGTGTTCTCTCAACAGAGCTCTGTGGCTGTTTTAGGTTGTTAGGCTCTTGTGGGCCTCCTTGATAAGTCGCTCTTCAGGTCGAGCTTTCGAGTACTCCCCTCACTTGAGGTCTTCGTACTGAGTACCAGTAGAGCTCCACTTAGACAGTACTATTAGTATGTAGGCTCTATCGTGAGCCTCACTAATGGCGCTTTTCCACTGCATGGTACGGCACAGTACGGCTCGGTACGGTTCACTTTTGGGGGGTTTTCCACTGGGTACAGTACCTGGTACCTGGTACTTT